CCGCTTGACACGGACATTAATTACGGCAGGGGCAGAGCCGGAGCGCCGCGCCCGCCGCAGCCGCGGGCACATGGCGGGGCCACCGGGGACCGCGCTCGCTCTGCCCGGGGGATGCAGCTGAGAGCCCGCTTTTGGTAGGTTTTACAAGCAGAGATTGCAGCCCCAGGGCCGGGCACAGGCGGAGGGAGCGGCACAGGAGCGCCGATGTCCCTGGCGATCCAAGGCACCTGCTCTGCTCCCTGCGCTCTCCTGGGAAGCTGCGCCTCCTGCACAGCCCATCCGCCTCCGGGGATTGAGGTTGGGAAGGTGCATCCAGGAGGAGCAAAGGAGCATTTGTAGTGCCGGGATGTTCTGAGGTTCCCTCTCAAATTTGGGCTGTGCCGTCGGCACCTGCTGCCTCTCTCTGTGGGATCAGCATCGCAATGTGCCCACAATGCGGATTTTCAGCTCCGGGACTATCGCAGCCTTTTGTATACCGTCCCTGGACCGGCACTGGGGACAAACCAGCAGGTTCAGCTCGGTATTGCAGCCGTGGCATGCTCGGAGTCTGTCTGGGGATGGAGGGCACGGGGTCGGGGATGGGTTGGGATCCGGAGCTGGGAGCGGCTGCGGCTCGGGGCTGGCAGCGCGGGGCTGCGGCGGGGTCGGGTCCCTGCTGGCAGCGTGGGGAGAGCAGCTGGCACCTTCAGCAGGTGCTGACACCGAGCTGAGCCTGCAGCCCGGCTCCTCGCTGCTGCCCTCGGGTAAACGCCGGCTCCGCTTCCCGCTGAGCTCCGGGAGCGGCGCAGGGCTGGGGCTGGGAGAGCGCTGGGAACGCAGGGATGGGGAATGGGATTTGTGCATTTGTCCCCCCAGGGACCAGGGGATCCTCCTGTGCTTCCTCCAGGAGACCTTCTCCTGCCAGGGCTCTGAGGCAGCCCACGGCCAGGGGTTTAGGGCGGGACAGACATCACCCCCCATTTCCCATCTGTGCCTCCACCCTCACTGCCCTGCCCCGGGCACTGCTGGCCCTGCTGTTCGGTGCTTTTGCTGTCGCACTAATTGCTCGGGATCAATTATTCATTGTGCAGTAATGAAGCAGGGAGAGGGTGGCTGTGCAGCGAGCCCTGGGCTCTGGTTGTCCTCGCAGAGGGTGAGGAGCAGAGCTCGGGGAATGATCCTCGTGAGCACTTTCACAATGACTTTGTGAAGATTTTCTCAGGTTTTGGTTTTTCTGCTTTGCATTTCTGGCTTTGCTTTCTTCCCCTCAGCCCCATGCTGTGCATTAGATGCTGTTCCCTCTTAAGATTCCTTGGTTCTTAGTTGTCACTTTTTAAATCCTGAGGTGCTGAACAGCGTTTCACAGATAGAAGGTTCTGATCTGGTGGATCTGGGCAGTTTGTCCCATGCTAAGAACCAAAACTGTCCAATACTTTCCTTCTGCTTCAGGAAAAACCTGCTTTGGAAAGGCTGATGTTTCCCTGGATGATGTAGGTGCTCTTTTCCTGCAATCCAGTTGATGTGGGGTGGGTGCTGCCTCCAGCACAAGGAACCCTCTGCTGTCTGCATCTCCCACAATAACCCTGCAGAGATAATTGGTCTCATTCCCATGGGGTTAAATGCCTTTGGGGGCAGCTGAGGTATCTCGGAGCAAAGGTCCTTGGAAGGGCAGCAGGGGCCAGAGAGGTTCCCCGTGGGACACACGGAGGATGGAGCTGCCATGGCCAGGGACAGCCACAGATTGGTTCTTCCACAGCTGGACCAGCACATCCCTCACTGTCCTGCTCACATTGATGTCCAACAGCCTGAAGGGACTTCCCTGCTTTTCCCAGTCCCTGGTTTTGGCTGAGGAGGTACCTGGGTGCAGGGCAGCTCTCTCAGCTCTGTTTTGCCTCCTCTTCCTCAGCATCACCACAAAAGAGAGAGAAAACCTGAGCATCCCCATCAGGAGCCAGGAAAGGCTCAGTTAAATGTCCCTGTGGCCTGGCATTCCTTGAACCACAGTGGCTCCATGACTGAGAGGAGCAGAGGCTTTGAAATGGGAAGCTGAGAGCCTCAAAAAAAATAAAAAAAGAATTTAAAAAAATCCCTGACCTCCCCTTGCTGGGGATTCCAGGGAATGCCACATGTGCTGGCACAGTGGGAGAGCTGGCAGCACCAGGGCAAGGGCAGGGCAGGCTTCAGCTCTCAGCTCTGCTGTCTCCATGGCTGGGGTTTTCCCAGCTGTGGCTCACCAGCAAGGCCACATTATTTAAAGAAATGCTGGGGAAGTTGGGGTTGTGCTGACACTCATTGAAATTTTCTCTGCTGAGCTGGAACAGTCCTGGATGTGAGCAACAACTCAGAAAAACCTGCTCGAGGTACAGACCAAGGAGCAGAGGGGTTTGCAGTCCTTCTGCACTGTCTTTGTTTCAATAAAACTTGAAAAATTTGAAAAACTTAATTTTTGAGGTAGTGAGTGATCCTTGAAGACAAAGAGAAGCCAGGGAGTGGATAACAGGTGCAAGGTTGGAGGATGTTGGTGCAGGAAGAGCAATGTTGGCTTTTTCTTTGGAGTGTGTTGGTATTTATTCAGTGAGGAAATCATTCTTAGGAACTCTCTTGCTGTTGCTCTGGTTTCAGACCTATCATCCTCCTTCCCTAAAATGACCCCAGAGAGCCATCCTGGGCTTTGGAGCTCTTGCTTCTGCTTTCTCTTCCCCTTCTCAGGAAATGCTGCCTTGGTCTCTCAGTCTGAGATAGAAACTGGAAGAGTGAGGTGTGAGATCCTCCAGGGAGGATGGAGTAAATCCCCTCAGCCCCTCGACCTGCCTGGGTGCAGACAGGGAACCCAGATGCTGGGAATGGCAAAAGCAATTTGTTGAGTGCAGGGGAAGATGCAGACAGTGAAAAAAGGGGAAATCTGCAGGTGGAGGTCAGGAACACCCAGAGCAGTGAGACCAAGGCGTTGAGAATGGAGAGATGCAGATGTTGGCTCCTGAGCTGCTGGGGTGTTTTGGGTGAGGCTGTGAGGTGGAAGGACAGCACCTCCCTCAGCCCAGCACTGCCTCCACTGCTGCCTCCTCCAGCAGCCCCTCGGCCACATGAAGTGGTGGGAAGGTGTCAGCCCCCCTCAGGTACTGGAAAAGCTGCTCAAAGGCTCCAGGGAGAGCTCAGAGCCCCTTCCAGGGCCCAGAGGCACTCCAGGAGGGCTGGAAGGGGGTGGGATAAGATGGGCTTTACAACCAAACCATCCTGTGGGTCTCTGAAGCCTGGTCTCATCCCCATCCCTGAGGTCTCGTGTCAGCAAGGTGACCTTGGCTTTGTGCTGATGAGGTCCCCGGTGCCTCCAGGCAGGAGCAGGTCTGTGGGCTGGCAGTGATGGCATTGCTGCCTCTCCTCCCGTCTCTCCCCACCCCAGGTGATGCTGAGCAGAGCTCAGCCCTGTGCAGACAGGATTTCACAGCCCTGGTGATGCTCTCAGCCCCAGATGGAGCCGACCCTCGCTCATGGTGAGGCTGCTGCTCATCCCCTCCACGCCAGAGAAGCGCAGCAGAGGCTCTGATTGAATTAGTGCAAGGATTTAATTTAATCCCCAAATGTCTCTCATTTTAAAGAAGCCTGTTCATTTCCTTCTAGGCCCTTATCAGATGTGAGCAGGACTGGGCAGATAGGCAGTGCTGGGGGAGGGCTTTGTGGGGAGTGACTCGAGGGCTGTGTGGGTTTTTCCTCTAATTATTTCATGAGATAATGATGACAGTGATTGTAAGACAAATAAAACATCAGCAGCATCATTGAGGCCCAGGCTGGTGCAAATGGCAGCCTGGCCTGGCAGGGCTGGGAACATTCCCTTCTTACACAGAATTGCTGTGTGGGGAGAGTGGAACAGCCCCAAGGATGGGGTGAAAGGAGCATTTGCTTTGTGCCTGACACCAAATCCAGCTATTTCATGGACGGGGTGATGTCATGAAGGGACCAAGCACGTTGTGGTCTCTGAATTTTTGTCTTCAGGCTCACTGGGGGAGTTCAGGTGATGCTGAATTGCTGCTGGGGCGAGCCAGGCTGGCTGGGACAGAGCTGGTGCTCTCTTTTCTACACCCTTTGGGTGTGATAAAGCAGGAAAGGCACAAGCTGGACACATGTGGGCTCCAGCCCAAATTCTGGGTGACCTGTTAGCTGGGGCTGGTCCTGTGGAATAGCCCCTGCCCCAGGATCTGTGTAGGAGGGAATTGCTTCCTAAAGAGAGGATTGTTTTCTCTCTTTTGGTATTTTTTTCCCTGCTGGGCTGATTTTGCCCCTTTGGCTTAGGAAAATCACACAGGACCCCGCTCTGGCAGGGGAGGGCTCATGGCAGGCTCCCCCTGCTCACAAAAACAACCTTGGAGATTTCTTCCCTTGGGCTTTTCCCTTTGAAAGGACAGAGCTTGCTCAGGCCTTCCCCAGCTGCAAAGAAACCTGGAAAAACCAGCCCCAAAGGCTTAAAACCCCGACAGGGGCTGGCAGGTTTTGTAGGGCTTGCCCAGAGCCTCGGGCTGAGCCGGGGCAATCCAGGGATGGGCAGAGCCCGGCGCTTCCCTTTGGCATTTGATAACGCGGTGCAGGAGGGGCCAGAGCTGCTGGAGCAGCCGCTGGATTTCTCTGCAGCCCTCGGGGAAAATCCCTGCAGGGCAGCAGCTCCGGGGGTGAGGATCCCGATCCGGCTCTGCCCCTGCTGCTGGAGCCCAGCCCGCACCCTGGCATTGCTCAAAAGCCCCCGGTGCTGGAGGAGGGAGCCGAGTGCCACCATCCCACTCCTGCCAGCCGGGAGAACCTGGTGTTGCAGGGCTCAGGAGCAGGACTGGGTGCTGACAGAGCAATGGGTGCTTGGCACCACCTGGGGACGTGGGGACGCTGCCATCCCACCCCAGCAGAGCACTGTTAGCCTTGTTCATATCGGTGCCAGCCTTGCAGGTGGGCTGTGAGGAGGTGAAAGGCTCCTCAGGAAGGTGGCCAGAGAGATTTGGGGTGTTTCTGCTTTCATCCTTTATCTTCTCCTCTGGCAGATGCTGGAGACGGACGCCGAGAAGCCGGGGCAGATGCACTCGGAGGATGGGAAGGCAGCAGTGGGTGATGCCCCTCCGGCTGCCAAGGCAGCGGCTCTGGCCGAGCCCTGGGACGCTCTGGGGGCCACCCAGGCTCCTCTCCTGGTGGAAAAGCAGCCGGTGGCCACCACAAAGGGAGAGGAGCAGCCCAGCTCCCTGCCAGCCTTTGTCATCCCCGAGCTGCGTCTCGACAGCACCTTCAGCCAGAGCGCGGCGGGCACGGCAGGCAGCGCCACGGACGGCGAGGACGACGAGGAGGATGAGGAGGAAGATGAGGATGAGGAGGACGAGGAGGAGGACAGCGACGAGCAGTACCTGGACAGGAACGAGCTGAAGCGCAGCAGCATGATCGAGACGTCGGGCGGGCAGCCCGGCTACACCCTGAGCGTGCAGGGGTCCCTGCGGCGCCGCACCCACAGCGAGGGCAGCCTCCTGCAGGAGGCCAAGGGCCACTGCTTCACCTCGGACAGCACCCTCCACTGTCCCGACAGCCAGGGCACCGCCGCACACTGGGCACTGCCCTCCCCCAGGACCCTCAAGAAGGAGCTGGTCAAGAACGGCGGCTCCATCCACCAGCTCACGCTGCTCTTCTCGGGCCACAGGAAGGTACGTGAGCCACGGCTGCTGGGGGAGCTCCTGGGGTGGAGGTGTCCTGGCACGTGGCTCCTGTCGCTGTGACCATGGCCAAGCTGCCTTGTGAGCGGTCAGGAGGGTCCCTGCCCCTGGCAGCCAGCTCTGGGAGGTGCTCAGCACCCGGGGGTGCTGCCCAGAGCAGTGGGCAGTGCTCCCTGAGCCCCCAGAACAGAGCTGACCCTGGCTGCTGCGATGCATGAACGAGGTGCCAGTGCAGAGATCATTCATGGGAAGCTCTGCTGTTCCCATTCTCCCCAGGTGACATTGGCAGGGTGCTGAGAGTGGCTCCTGGCCCCACACCCTGCTCTGCCCCAGCAGCTCCATCCCTGCCTCAGCTCTGGGTGCTGCTGGGGGCTCTGGTGCTCGGCACAGCACCACAGCCCATGGCTCAGGGCTGTGTTCCCAGCTCAGGTCCTGCTGCTTGGGACACCTCAAACAGAGCCACATTCTGCTCCAGAGCAGTGGGCTCCTTGGCAGGAGAGGCTGCTGCAGACCCTGGGGTTAAACCCACGCTAGGTTAACCCTCTTCCTGCCACGCTGCTTGAAAAGCCACTCTGGTGCTGTTTCCTGGAGGAATTTTTGGGCTCAGAGTCCCTGACCAGCTGGTGAGAGCCTTTCCTGGGGTTCCAGACTGCTGGGATGGGGCTGCTGTCCACAAGTCCAAACTCTCCTGGAGACCGATGCCAATAACTGTGTGTGGGAGCAGATGGGGGGTTCAGACCTGCCCTATCCTCGATAAAGCAAAGCCACCCCTGTGTCAGGGGCAGTGTCACTGCCTGTCACATGCAGGAGAGAGGCGGTGACAGCGTCAGCACCGGCTGAGAGCGTCCTGTCAGTGCTGCTGTGAGCAGTGCCCTAAAGGAGAGCTCACAGTGCCGCTGTGTGTGCAGCTCTGAGCCTGCAGCCCTGCAACCCTGCAATCCTGCAACCCTGCAACCTTGCAGCCCTGCAGCCCTGAGCCTGCAGCCCTGCAACCCTGAGCCTGCAGCTCTGCAACCCTGAGCCTTCAGCTCTGCAACCCTGCAACCCTGCAACCTTGCAGCCCTGCAGCCCTGAGCCTGCAGCCCTGCAACCCTGCAACCTTGCAGCCCTGCATCCCCACATCCCCACAGCCCTGCATCCCCACAGCCCCACAGCCCCACAGCCCTGCAGCCCCACAGCCCCACAGCCCCACAGCCCTGCAGCCCCACAGCCCTGCAGCCCCACAGC